ATTCATTGATTTCATTTTCTTTCTCTGTTGTTCATACTTCATTTCATCCTCTTTGCAGCATCAGACACTGGTGCTCACTCTCTCCTTGAAACACTTTCTCTTAACTCCAGTAACATGCCTTCTCCTTCTAGATCCCTTCAGAGACTCCTGTTCCCTAGACTCTCTCCTCAGGCTTCTCTTACCACCTTCAACTGTCCCTGACTGATCTCCTTCCATGACTCAATCACCTCCCATATTCTGATGAGTCCCAAAGTTATCAGTAGCACCAAACGTTTCTCTGGATACCTTTGGACATCTCCACCTGGAGTTCCCTCAGGCATCTCTAGGTCAACGTCTTCCCCTACAAACCTGGTCTTTTTCCTGTATTCCCTGAACTTAGCACATAAATAGACTCTTCATTCAACTTTTTGCCTGAACCAGAAATTTGAACAGTATTCTTGACTCTGCCTTCATCCTGATCACCTAACCAATCAAATCTAATCAATCACCACAATCCATCAGCTCAACCTCCTAAGGTCCCTTGAATCCATCTCCTTCCCATTCCCACTCTCACTTCCTCAGTTCAATCTTCTCATGTTTTCCTAGGTGAAGGCAGTGGCCTCTTAAACTGCTCTTCCGACTCCACTCTTGGCCCCCTCTTTCCTCTCTTCACACAGATGCCAAATGGTCATTCTAAATCACAAATCCAGTTGTGACAGTCCCTTTAAATTCCATGGTTGGTTCCCCAAAGCCTATAAAGTCCAAAATTCCAATAATGGTATATATGGTATACCTGGTCCTTCAGGATAAGCAACTGCTTCTTTCCCCACCTCACTGCTAGACTCCCCCACCTCCAACACCCTCCATGCTTTAGCCAGAGTCATCTATATTTCATTTACAGAAATCAACGTAGTCTCTCTTTCCTCCATGCCTTTGCACATACTGTTGCTTTTGTCTGGAATGCCCTTTGCACCAACCTCTTCACTTGGCTGCATCAAAACTCAGATCACGAGTTAAAGAGTTAAAAGGCTAAAGAAATGAGGAAAGTGGTGACCTCAGGCAAGGAAGGCTGACCTAGAGAACAAAAGTTCAGACCTATGAGATCCCTAAGGGACAAAAAAGCTAGATTAGAAAGTACTTCATTTCCCAAAATTCAACTCTGTCAAAATCTTTTGTAAAGGGGTATGTGTGTGTGTCTGGGTGTGTCTGCATGCACTTTTGTGAGGAAGATTAGCAGTACAGGCAGAGACCTAAATAAGGAAGGGAACTATTATCCCTCCCCATTCCTCCTTCTCCTACCAAAGCAGCAGACCCCAGAGACACCTTCAGTGTGGGCTTCAGACTAGAAAGAGATGCACCTGGAGAATGACCCAGCTGATCCTACCAACCCCTATCTTCACAAAACACAATAGCCAACACACCCTATGGCCCAAAATTGTAACATTTTCAATCTGGGACTACAAAACACAATGGTTTGGCACCTAGAAAGTTCTCAATAAATATTTGTTGAATGATGAGACAAACAGAAAGTAAATAGGCAACATGGGCAAAATGTTGATGATTACTGAAGTTGGGTAATGAGTTTAAAAGGTTCCAAAATAAAAACTTGTCTTTAAACGCTGTAAAATCCAAATTCAAGCTATGTGTTAAGAATATTTAGTAAACAGTAAAAAGTAGCTGCTAAACAGGAGATATACGAGATATTCCTCATTTCTGAACATAATAATAATATCAGAGTTGTTAGAGGACTAAATAAGATCATGTGTGTTTAAGTTCAGCACACAGTCTGGCACTTGGGAAATACATAACAAATGCAAACTCTTATCGTTATTGGCTGATCTTGGCTTTGGGCCCTGTACTCAACAGAGCCTATGGCCATTAGACTAAATGCTAGCAAGTGGGGAGATCTGTGTCTAATGTCTCCCAGTGCCTTTGCATAGCAGTGGTTACTTGACAAAGTTTATTTTTCCACTGAATATAGTAACATCTCAATTAATTGGAAAGGGTTACTTTATCAGAGATAGCTAGAATCTCTGAAAGGCAAGATATACCTGACATTACTAATCTGTTTTCTTATGTATCCTTTTCCCTGCCTCCCCATCACCACCCAAACTACACACAATTTCTCTGCTATCCCAGGGGCTAATGAAGACTCCAAAAAGCCACAGCCAAGCAAGTTCTCTTCTAAGACAGAGCAGATGCACTAGAGAATAGTTGGAGAGGTGGAGGGGGCCATAATTAGCTCCAGGAAGGATCAGGAAGTAGAGCGGAAGAGACTGAGCTGAGATCTTTGGATCCTCACTTTTTCAGCCCTCATCACAGTTGGACAAGCCCACATTCAAAAGTTCTGGACATTTGTCAGGGAGCCTCAACAGAGGGTGAGGTGCAAAGACTCCTCCAGTCTCTAGGATGGAAACAGAACCAACGAGGAATTTCCCTGGTCAGGGCAGCATTTGACAAGCCACCACTGTTATACCTGCTTGTTACAATTTTTGCTGCTCAAGGCACTTCTATAATCTGCAGTGTAGAGAATATGATTAAATCCTCCTGCCTTGGATTCTTGCCCAGCCTTGAGGCCATTATTCTGAGCTTCAGTACTTGCTGCACTTAACTGCTGATTAAGAAGAAGGTGTGAAGATGGCAGCTGAATATATCACTGAGCCTAGAAAATACCCTGGAAGTCAGTCCTTTGAAAGATTCCTGATAGACTCATTACTAAATCTGTAAGTCTTTAAAAATAAATCACAATTAACAAAAGGCTCATTTTTTTTCTTTTACAACAGTACATAATTGAGTCTTACATTTGCACATTTTGCTAATTAGGACTTTAAAATTATTTAAATGATAGTCTGTATTCTAATATTATGCAATAAAATTGACAGTGGAGGTGAGGGGAAGGAGAAAAGGTAAAAAATGTCCATTTGATCTGATTTGTATTGAATCAATGTTTCTTCAGTGCTATAGAAACAATTTTTTTCATGCAGGTAATTTCAGATTTTAATAAAAAGTAATAAGATCCTAACGTAAGAGAAAACATTTTTATTACATAAACAATGATATATTACCTAAAGCTGCATGTGAAAATTTTAAGTATAAAAAAGGCATAGAAATTAATACACATGGGACTTCCCTGGTGGTCCAGTGGTAAAGAATCCACCTTACAATGCAGGTGACGTGGGTTCGATCCCTCGTCAGGGAACTAAGATCCCACATGCCATGGGGCAACTAAGCCTGTGTGCCACAACTACTGAGCTCGCACGCCTCAACTAGAGAAAGCCCACACACCACAACTAGAGAGAAGCCCGGGCGCCACAACGAAGAGCCCATGCACCGCAACGAAAAATCCTGCATGCCCCAGCGCAGATCCCACATGCCGCAACTAAGACCCAACGCAGTCAAAAATAAATAAATAAATAAATCTTTTTAAAAAAAGAAATTAATACACACAATTTAGATACTTTCATTAGTGTTAAGTAAACAACTCCAACACTCCCATTCTAGAAGACTAACTCTGACAATAGATAAAACAGAATTAAATGTATGTTAAGCAAGACATTTCAAAAGAAATGTTAGTAATTTAATAATAAAGGTTACCATTTATCAAGTACTTACTGTGCTCTGGGCACAATGCCTACCTCTTTAGGTACTTTGCATTATTTAATCCTCTCAATAACCCTGTGAATAAGGTATTTTTACTTCCTATTTTTTAATAAAAGAAAATGGAAACTCAATGCGATTAAAAACTTGCTAAAAGTCATGTACCTAGTTAGTAGACTGTGACTTGAAAATAAATCAGTTTATATTGCCCACAAAACTACACAATCCACAAGGACAGGAACCAGTATATTCTGTCCTCCACTGACACATATTACGTGTTCAACAAGTAGTGAAAGAGTGCATGTGTACATACCTATATTCCTAATTTTGTTACTAATTTTGTTCCTTTGTTACTAAAGGAGAAACATTTACATTTGTAAACTCACACATTATTGTAAAAAGAACTTTTTAAATATTTTTAATTGCCCATTTATATTCATTACGTGAGTTCTTTTTCAAGGATGACCAAGGCCTCTTCCCCATTTGAAACACAGAGGTTTGACAAACTGACCTAGTGATGTGGCTAAGGTAATATTTTAGGGCATTAACTTTTTCTCTCAGGTTTTCCCTTCCCCTTTCTTTCCACAACTCTGCTCCCATTTCAGGTCTTGGTTCTGTGTCATTGCCTCAGGGAAGCACCCGGCAGGGCAAACAGCAAACATGCCAGCAAATCTTTCAGATTTTAATTTTTTCAAAGCCCAGGTAGCCACTAACCAGGAAGAGACCATGAGAACAGAGACATCAAAGTACAGTCCACCAGAACTGATAACCAATTCCTTGTTCACCAATCCTCAGGCCCTTTTAATGTAGACCCTTCCCATTTGTGACAATAGGGAAAGAAAGAGGGAAGGAGTGAGTCCAGGAAGGCTTCAAGCTAACTATTTTTCCACTTACCAGGCAAAGGCTCACAATCAGAGATTAAGTTCATGGACAGCAAGTAAAAAGACTAATATTGCTTCACACACGGATCTGTGAACTCAGATTCATAAGCACTACAATTATTTTTGTCTACTTATTCCTCTTGAGTCAACCACACTGTACCTTTCATTTTAAGCCGATGAAGAACTACCAACTTTTCTAATTTGTTCAAAAATCAAATTCAGGAAATTGGTAGGAGACCAAGAATGTACGTAGCCCAACTCCACCCTTTGATAAATTATACAAAAAAGCAAAACAAGGCAAGGAACAAGTGATTTCCAAAGCTCACACGGAGAAACTTCTGGAGATTTAATAAACCACACCATAGAATATCCACCACCTCTCCAACTGCAGTGAAAAACCAGGCCTTTTTTTTTTTTTTTGTGGAATCAGACACTGTATTTTTAGAGAGAGCAAAAGCACTCTACTAAACCGAACGGAACGAAAACTCCCAGTACATTCTGGAACGATATTCTGGCCAATCCGCCCGCCAGCAGAGGCCTTACCGGGCCTGGGTTGGTGCGCGCAGCGTTCAGCTCCCCCTCCTCTTCATTGAAGACACTCGGGGAAATCCTCCAATGAGAGACAGTTAGAGGTAGGGGGCGTGGTCTCAAGGGGCGGAGAATTTGACTCCGGGATAGTGAAAAGCGTGTGCTGATTGGCCGGACTTCTTCCCTCTACGGACCAGCCCTCTTTGGACAGCAGGAGCCATCTATCATAAGACTTACACCAATCAGCGGCGAAAATGCCTCCCATGTGCCCCTCCCACCGCAGCGAGAAAACCCCGCCCTCCAATATATTACTCAGGAGGCCAGGCGCGGCCCCTTCGGCTCCGAGCAGACCCCAAGGAGGGCAGTGTCGTCTCGGCGGCGCTGTAGAGACCTCCACCCAAGACGGCTCCCCCTCCCCGGGCCTCTCCCGTCTTGCCCGCGAGCCCACTCGCCTCATAGGCCTCTCGGTTCTAATATCTTGGGGTGAGGTGAGAGCAGGCCCGGGGAGGGTGGTTACCGCTGAGGAGCTGCAATCGCGATCAAGGTGAGCTCGGATTTCGGGGTTGACCTCGGAGTGCGGGTAGGGAACAAGGTTGGGGGGCGCGGGGTGAGGGGTAGGTCTCGAGCCCTTTTCCTCGGTTAACTCTCCCCGAGCAACAAGTTCAGGCTAGTACGAGCATGGAGGGGCGGGGCCAGATGCGACCTCCTGAGATGTCTTAGTGTCTTATGGGCCCGATCCCAGCCCAGGGGCCAAAGAGTTGGACCCTTGAAGTTTGCGGTTCTCCATCTGCCCACCCTTTCCGTCGCGCAACCCTAAGGATTCTTTCTGCCTCCCTGTCTTTCGATTGTTGCGAGGAGGGACCGTCCGTGTGTCCAGGGCTTAGCCCGTGCCCGCAGCAGGCACACAGTAGATGTTCAGTATTGTCTTAAATTAATGAAACTCCCAGATTCCTCTTGCAGGCTGGATTAGCCTTCCGCCCCCACTGCGTGCACCCATAACTGCCTTTAAGCTTCCTTTCCTAACATCAATAAAAGTTAACAGTTACTGAGCAGTGAGTGCCAAGCACTATGCTAAACTCTTTAGTTGAATCATCTTGGTTAATCTTCACAGCCATTCAAAGAGGCAGATATGCCTCGTTTTACAGACTAGAAGTAAGCTCATTAATATTGCCCAGTGTTTATTAGGCACCTACTGTATGTGCTAAGTACCTGTGTACCTAGATGATCTCATTCATTCCTCACAAGTGTCTGTGAAATAGGTAATAACCTTATACCCACTTTACGGACTAGGAATTGAGGACTAAGAAAAATTTACTAACTTGAAGAGTTCACATTGTTAATAAATGGCAGAATACATGCTACCATCTAATTTCAAAGTTTGGGCATGAAGATTTGCATTTTTTTTCTTTAAAAAGCCATGGCTACTGCCCTCTAGGAACTCACAATTTAGGATGTGACCAACTGGTTGGGGAGGTGGAGAATTACAGATGGCATTTTGCAGTGACTTAGATTCACTAATAGCATTGAGAGAGGGGAGACTTGTGTTATAATGCACCTGGCACAACACAAGGCAGGAGGGGCTGTTCTTTCACTCCTTTCTGGGCTTTGTTCTATATATAGATGATAGAGGTACTGACAACAACTGACTCTCAGAAACTGCTACACCAGCTGAATGCCCTGTTGGAACAGGAGTTGAGATGTCAGCCAAAGGTCTGCGGCTTGAGACTAATTGAATCTGCACACGATAATGGCCTTAGAATGACTGCAAGACTGAGGGACTTTGAAGTAAAAGATCTCCTTAGTCTAACTCAGTTCTTTGGCTTTGACACGGAGACATTTTCTCTAGCTGTGAATTTACTGGACAGATTCCTGTCTAAAATGAAGGTACGTCTAAAGCTACATTACCCTGAGTATTTCGTGGTTTTGTTCAATGTGTTTTGGAGGTGGTATTGCTAGCTTTGGGCTGGTATTCATAACTTTTTTTGTTTTCAGCAAGTAGCCAAAACATTATGGTAATTCTGTGTACTACAGCACTGATGAAATCCTTCCTTTTAATTAAGAGTGATGCATCATTTATTCAACTTACTTTCTGACATTGAAAAGTAGTCTAATATCAAATAATTAATTGCAGAGTCTCCCAGTAGGAGAGTTGGCTGTTGTTTTTAAAAGTCTTTTTTGATAGGTTGGGTGTTTTCATTTATTTACTGTTGTTTCTAAATTTTAAGAAATGTGTTAGAGGCCGAATGCTAGATTGGGGGTTAAGAATTAGACTATATTTCTTTTTTTTTTTCCCTTTTTGTTGATGCTGTCAACCGTCTGGTCATAGAGTATATTTCTTGATCTCTATTCATATAGAATAAAGTTCTAATTGTTTTAGCCTTAAATTTACCCAAGTCATGCTTATGCTTGTCATTTCCAGCCTAAGTTTGCATATAATAGAGAGTATCTTCTGAAGGAGCATTTATATATAGTTATTTCCCTGTATTGGATAAGCAGGACATCTGTGTAACTTTCAGAGCTTAATTGTTACAAATACATCTGACTTCTCTGTGTGCCAGTGGTCATCGGTAGATAATGAAATAACGTGGCAGTTAAAATGCAGCTCATCTTTTAGTCCTCAGTACCTAACAGAATGCATCATATATGGGAGGAACTCAATGTGTATTGAATGGTTCAAGAAACTTTTTCAATAGCCTAATTAAACAACTCTTTAGACACCATGTGCAGGCACTACCTTTGACTATAAATGTTACATAGATGAAATACATCTATCCCTTAAGTGTATTATAATCTTAGTGGCAATAATGTTTGCATTGATAACTATTATATAGTACAAGGAATAATAAGAAAAATAATTACATTATACCTCAAAAGAGGCATAAATGTATTGCTGAAGGGGTTCTAAGAAGAGGAGAGCACAAATACTGGTAAAGGCTTCATAAAGTTTCCGTTAAGCGGAACTTAAAGTGGACAGAATTTTGACTGTGACAAATTTTGTAGACATTCAGAAAATGATGAATAAATTTAAAATACTGGTAGTGAATAGAGCTTTACAGGCAGAGTAAACAGTATGTGCTGTAGTATTTAAAAACATTTTACATGTGTTACTACAAAGAAAACAGCCTGGAAAAACACAACATTCTGGAAAGAAATTTTGTGCATAAGCTGTAAGGTATTTCAGTCCTCATATAAGCCTTTGACCTAGTAGCTTATTGCTTATCGTTCTGCACTGATTTAAACAAACCAAAAGAAGTACGAATTGTTATGTGCTGAAGCCACACATTACACTGAAACTTAGTCTGTTTGCTCAAAAATTGGTTCCAAGTGGGTACATATGGTTAAGAGGCTACAGTTGAGGTATCAGTGGATCTTGTTAAGTCCTTCACAGCTGAGAAATATACCTCAAAGATACATTTTCGAAGTGATAGGTTGAGTTCTAGATTATCCTTTATGTTTTTTTAACTGAAATAAGGTAAAGACATGGACTTACTGTCTTTTTAGGTACAACCCAAGCACCTTGGGTGTGTTGGACTGAGCTGCTTCTATTTGGCTGTAAAATCAATAGAAGAGGAAAGGAATGTCCCATTGGCAACTGACTTGATCCGAATAAGCCAGTATAGGTTCACAGTTTCAGACTTGATGAGAATGGAAAAGATTGTGTTGGAGAAGGTGTGTTGGAAAGTCAAAGCTACTACTGCCTTTCAGTTTCTACAACTCTATTATGCACTCCTTCAAGAGAACTTGCCATATGAAAGGTATGTGATGTTTGTTTTTAACAAAGCAGATTTGGAAATCAGAATGATGTTGTCCGGATGTTAAATAAAATCAATATCCTGGGAGAATTCCAGTCAAAATAAGTAAAGTGACAGCTAAGCTCCTTGAGTTTCACTTCACCCTCCAGCAGAAGTGAGAAGACTTTTAGTCAAAAGTAGCTTCTTGAAGTCTGTGAATTCTAAAGATGGACATTTCAACTTTTTTTAAAATTACGTTTTCCATTTATAGACAAGTTAAGTTATAGAACCTAGTAGGTAAGCATCTAACACAGATGTATGGAAAAAGGAACTTCAGATTCAAAAATAGATTTATTAAAATGAAAAGAAACCTTGGGAGTTGTAGCATGATACTTTTTTTTTGGCCCAAATCAGTTAAAATTCATATATGGTATCCTTAAGAAGTTAATGTTTCTGAAGGAAGGGAAATTCTTCGAATAATTCACTTTCTATGATAAGTGTACATAAAGTTCACTTTAAAATTGACTTATTTTTCTAAAAATTTCTTTTGACTTGATGTAAAATTATCTATATAAAATTAATTTCATTTTCTTTTTAAAGGAGGAATAGCCTTAATTTTGAAAGACTAGAAGCTCAACTTAAGGCATGCTACTGCAGGATCATATTTTCTAAAGCAAAGGTAAATATTTTATAAAGATTAAACCTATTTATATACCTACTTTTATATTCAACATTTACTTTAAAATTTATCTCTTTTAGCCATCTGTGTTGGCATTGTCTATCATTGCCTTGGAGATCCAGGCACAGAGGTGTGTAGAGTTAACAGAAGGAGTAGAATGTCTTCAGAAACATTCCAAGGTATGTCAAGGTCATAGCCTAAATCCTGTTGACAGCTGTAAAAGCAACTAAACCACTTGTTCCTAAAGTAAAATGAGATGTCCTGTGTTTATCTGACACTTAAGTAGCTTATCCTCAAATTTTTTTGACGAGGAAACACACATGTTAATAAGATTGCAATTATTACTATAATTAAATACTGTAGGACTTTTATTTTAAAGAATATATTTTTTTAATTTATTCACAGATCAATGGCAGAGATTTGACTTTCTGGCAAGAGCTCGTATCCAAGTGTTTAACTGAATATTCATCAAACAAGTGTTCCAAACCAAATGTTCAGAAGTTGAAATGGATTGTTTCTGGGCGTACTGCACGGCAACTGAAGCATAGTTACTACAGAATAACCCACCTCCCAACAATTCCTGAAATGGTCCCTTAATTGGTAAATTTGGTTCATAGTTTTTCTCCATGTAGAGAGACTTTTCTAATGCTATAATTTTCTTCTGCAATTCAAGAATTTAAATCTGCATTATTTTAAAAAAAATGGAGTTGGACTAGCAGAGGGGAAAATGACTTCTCTGATCTAGTCAGCTTGTATTTGAGGACATTTACTACATTCAAGGTACAACACCCTAAGAGTAAGGAATTCTCTTAACCTTTCATATACATGTTAGCCATTTCATTAAATTTTCAGCTTAAAAAGCAGCATCGTTAATAACCTGGACTTTAAAAGTAGCACTAAAACAGTATTTTCTTTTTTCAATTTCACATCATTTTGCTGTATGTAGACTTAGGCTTTGGCTCATTTAAAGTTACACGAGCCTGAGTGAGGGAGCAGGACCAAAAGTTTGAACCATACATTGAACTAATTTGAGACTGTTAGCTTATTAGCAAAATCAGTATGAACTTGGGTATTGTACTTAAAAAGTAAGTTGCGGCAGGTGGTCTCTACATTGAGTGTCTAGAAACTGCCAGGATGTCTCAACTGTATAGTGTATCATTATACATCTCAACTGTATGTGTATCATTGCTATAGTAGTTGAACACTGGAAAGTACTTACATGCATAAAAAATGTAAGCCTCCTCACAAATATATGATATACATTCTTGCCATCTAAGTTTAATTCATGTTGGTGATTTCTTTCTTCCTACTCAAAACTAAATATTAACATAGAACACATCTACATAAGACGTGATTGTTAGTCTTAGATATTTTCACAGGTAGTAATATTTGTGGTAGATTTCTGATAACTTGATTTTTTTGTTTATTAGGATTGGCAGACTTCTGATAACTTGATTTTTTTGTTTATTAGGATTCTTACAGCCAACAAATAACTCTTCTGAAGCCTTTCTCCACAATCCTGAGCTGTGGATTCCATAATGTTATAACGGATTTAAGCTGTGAAGCCTCAAAATATCACAAGTAGATTAACATTGGTGTTCTCAGATTTGGGAAAACTGCCTAATTAACATTACCCTATAGTGGAATTACTCACATTTGAATTCACCTGTGAAGCATACAAATCAAAGCTAACAGCATAAATGTGAAATGCTAATGACAAGCCTGGGAAGGTAAACTGTGAATCTTCATTTCTAACACTGATCCAACTTTCTGTATTGGGTCAATATATTGTATTTAAGTGGTGTTAAAAACGGTAACCTACTTAATTTAAATTTAAACTTTAAATTTAAATATGAGGTTTACATCAAAACCACCACTTCACAAATGCACTTTTAAGGCATAATAAGGGTCAGTATTCTAGGCAGTGAAAATGGTTTCTTGGCACCCATAATGCAAGTAATATGTAATCCAGAGATGTGGACTTTATTGCTACATGGGAGTCACATTTAAATTTGAGGGCATTTTATATAAAGCAAAACTACAGACCTATTAATTTCAGCATATTAAGTTATCTTTAATATTTTTCTAGAAAACAGGTGATGTTCATATCCATGATTTAAAAAGTTTTATACAAAATTTACTGCCTCAGTCTAGTCCCATCAAGAAAATTAGTTTTTACTGTAGTAGTAACTCAAATTAACCTCACTCTGAAAACTTTGATTTAACACTCCAGAAGTTTTTACTAAGCACTGTTTTTATGAAACTGCCATTGCTTCTAATTTAGAGTTTTGCTTAAAAGGGAGAGAATATACTTTCATTAATTGCCCCTACTGTGCCAAAGGAAAGTATTAAGAAAGGTAAGTAGGCATCTTCATAATTATAAGGTTGCTGAGGTAGTGTTCAGGATTTCAGTGAACCTAAGGAGATCTACTGTGTTAAAGTGTCAGTTAATGTAATGTGTAGCCTGAATCCATCCAGGATGGCTATACCCAAGTTTGACATCATGTTATGGGGAGATATGCATTGGAAAATAAACCAAAGAACCACAGTGTATCTTATACTTTTGTAAACCATGTTTTATGGATAACTTTCCAGTTTTCCCAAAAGACTGATAAATTTCAATATTTTGAATACATCAGTGTTAATTTTGAGTTGGCAGAGGTAACCTAACCAACTACCATTATGTTTTGGTACTAAGGGATATACCTTTCAATAAAGTTACTGAAATGCATTCCTTTGCTGGGTGGTTTTCTATTTGTTTCTCTTCTAATTTAATTAACTATTTTGGCACTGTGATAATAGAACCACAATAAAAAGCTGTCTTCACTCACTATATTTAAATTTAGCACTAAAGTAAATGCATGGTAGGAGAAACAAAATTTCGTATAAGAGTATGGCTATTACCTAATTGACACTTTCCTTTCTAATGGTTTTTTAAAGATAGACACAAGATGATGACAATTAAATATGCTTAATATGCATTAAAAAGTAAGTGTTTATACACTATTGGTCGCTTTTATTATTTAGATTCATCACTACTATGGCTATCCATAATACAAATTCACCCTCAGATTCAGCCCACCTGAAGTTCTGTGCAACCCTATTATCTAATTAAACAGTATTCCAGCAGGTCGTAGTTAATCTGCTAAGATCACTTGTTAATTATTATTATTGGAACTGAAACAATAGATGACTTTGAACTGTTCATGTTTAAACTAACAAGATACAAAGTAGACAGTATATGGAATTACTGGTGAAAGAAAAACTTTTATAAAAGAAGGTTCCTGGGCTTCCCCGGTGGCGCAGTGGTTGAGAGTCCGCCTGCCAATGCAGGGGACACGGGTTCGTGCCCCAGTCCGGGAAGATCCCACATGCCGCAGAGCGGCTAGGCCTGTAAGCCATGGCCACTGAGCCTGCGCGTCCAGAGCCTGTGCACCACAAAAAAAAAAAAGGTTCCTTTGGTATTTGACTCAGGTTAGATATATTTAATAATCCCTCTTTTCAGAAGTGCTGTTTTTAAAAAGGGACCTGAACCTTCTATGTATTTCTAATTATGTGACATACTTTCTAAAAACTAGACATTTCTGATCTAACATTTGTGGTTAACAATGATAGTTTTTACTGTCAGGTACTATAGTCAGATGTTTCAGATGAATCATCTCATGTAATCCTTAATCCTATAAATTGAATGAGATTATCCCAATTTACAAATGAACCAGAACCAAGGAACAGGTAAGTGATGAGCCCAAGGTCATACACCTGTACTTGGATGTGTGATTCAAATCCAGGCAATTCTGACTCGGAGGCTATGCTCTTAACCTCTCTGCACATTACTTCCCAATATAGATTAAATGGACTCGTGAAATTGTATCAAAATTACCAGGAATAAAGAGGGATATTAAAAAATGATAAAAGAATCAATTCACCAAGACATGACAAGCTTAAATATGTATGCACCTAACATCAGAGCTTAAAAATACAAGAAGTAAAAACAGCAGTGAAAGGAGAAATGAACAAACCTTCAATTACAGTTGGAGACTTAAACACTCCACTCAGTAATGTATAGAACTACTAGAAAATCAGCAAGGACATAGAAGGACTGAAAAGTACCAACACCAAATAAAAAATCATTTACAACAGCTCCAGAAAATGAACACTTAGGAATAAATCTAACAACAGATGTACAGGTTCTATAAGCTGAAAACCATAAATGCTGATGATCTATATCAAAGAGGTGCTAAATGAAGATGCCCCATGTTCATGGATCAGAAGACATGCTATTCCAGTGGAAACTCCAACAGGACTTTTTGTTATACAGACTAGCTGATTCTAAACTTTACACAGAAAGGCAAAGAAAACACAGTCAAAACAATTCTGAAGAAATAAGTTGAAGGTATCACGCTACCCAATTTTAAGACTTGCTTTAAAGCTACAATTGTCAAGGCAGTGTGGTATTGGTGAAGGGAAAGACACACAGATCAATGGAACAGAATACTGAGACCAAAAACAGACCCATATAAATAGCAATTGATTTTTGAGAAAAGTGCAAAAATAATTTAATGGAGAATGAATACCCTTTCCAACAAATGATTTTGAAACTAGACATCCATATGCAAAAAAATAAACAACCTATATTTCACAGCTCTTACAAAAAATAAAATAGGTCACAGATCTAAATGTAAAAGATAAAATGATAAAACTTTAGAAGAAAACATTGGAAAAAATTCCTCATAACCTGGGATTACAAAATTCTTAGACGTGACACCAAAAGTATGATGAATTAAACTTCATCAAAATTAACATTCATGCTTCAAAAGTCACCATCAAGAAAGTGAAAAAACATATATAAAAGGAGAAAATATATGCAAATCACATATCTGATAAAGGACTTTTGTGCAGAATATATAAAGAACTCTCACGTCTCAATAATAAAAAGGCAGATAACCCATTAAAAAATGGGCAAAGGATCTGAATAGACATTTCTCCAAGGAAGATACACAAATGGTCAATAAGTACAAGAAAAGATGCTCAACATAATTAGCAATCAGAGAAATGTAAATCAAAACCACAATGTGATACAATTCCTTATTCACCAGGATAGCTAGGATCCAAAAGTCACATAACACATGTTAGCAAAGATGTGGAGAAACTGGAACTCTCATATACTGCTGATGGGAATGTAAAATGGTGTAGCCACTTTGCAAAACAATCTAGCAGTTCCTCAAATAATTAGTTTCCATAAAACTTGAAATTCCACTCTTAGGTAAGAAATTAAAATACAGATGCACACAAAAATTTGTACTTGAATGTTTATAGCAGAATTATTCACAGTAGCCAAAAGGTGGAAACTTCCCAGGTGTCCATCAACTGGCAAATGGATAAATATGTGGTAGTCATAAATGGAGCATTATTTAGCCAGCCAAAAAGAATGAAGCACTGACACATACTAGAACGTGGATGAACTTCTAAAACATTATGCTAAGTCAAAGAAACCAGAAACAAAAGACCACACTATGATTCCAGGTACATGAAATATCCAGAACAGAGAAATCTACGTGATGGAACGTAAATTATTGGTTGCTTCAGGGGGTTGGGTGTCTGTGCGTGGTTGGGTGGGGTGATAGTTAAAAAGTATGGATTTGGTGGGGTTTTTTCCTGAGGTGATGATGAAAATTAAAGTTGACGATGGTGATGGTTGAACTTAATGTGACTATCCTAAAAACCACTGAATTATACACTTTAAATGAGTAAAATGTATGGTATGTGAATTATCTCAAAGCTGTGTTTTTAAAAGATTATATATGATTCTATTTAAATGAAGATCTTGAAAAAAAAATATTGAGGCAGAGACTAAATCAGTGGGCTCCAGGGTTTGAGGCTAGGAGTAGGGTGTAACTATAAAGAGAAAGCATGAAGGAGTTTTGGGCTGACTGAACCAGTCAATTTCCTGATTTTGGAGGTTTTACACATATCTTTACATAAGTTAAAATTCACAGAACTACAAACAAAGTTGATTTTACTGTATGTTTATTCAAAATATTAAAAAATTTTAATGTCACATAGATAAGCCAATTAAAGGAAAAACGCCTCTTCCCCAACAACTCACTCCTAAAGTTATTGGGTAAAATGAACATCATAGGTATCTTGCCGAAGGGTGTGGTTGGGCTGCAGCGGCCCAGAGTGGGGCATTAGGATCCAAGTAGGTGAGGCGGGTTATCTCTGCTTGGCATAGGGTTTTGGAGCCTGAGCAGTGAGAAAGGTATTCGCATGGGAAGATGACCTAGAATAGTGAACCAACTATATTAAGGATAATAGGGATCAGGTATCTCACTGTTGAAAGGAGTTCTGTACAAAGGGAGAGAGCAAAAATGAACCCCATGGGATCAGAAATGAAAGTTTAAGTGTGAACTCATGGTTTTCAATATATACATAAATATAAAAATCTAGATGTAAATGTATGCATAATAGACACACACCAACAGCAACTACTCACTAACACATAGAACCTGGCTTCTAAATACCATTCTTCACTAGAGAACCAGGGCTCCTGGGAAAAATGGCTGATTCTTGTGCTAGGGTAGGGAAAGCAATAATAAGTCTGGTATATCTTATGCCAGAGAATAAGAAGTTGCTTAAATAATCATGGGGACATGTCAAAAGGGCATAGAAGCCACCTGCAATGACCTTCCACTGGCCGAATCCAGAAAAAATTTTGAGGATCAAAGTAATGGGAATAATAGATTTTAACCCAATGAATAAAGTGGAAATCATGAGTATATATAGATAAATTTAAAGTTTGATGAGAAACAAGGTGGTACTTTTGAAACTACATCACACAAAATACCTAACCATAAACATGAAAAGAATAGCTTTATAGTGGAGAAGACTGACAGACACCACTTAATCAGTGATCTAAGTACAGTTGTCCCTCAGTATCCACAGGGTATTTGTTCCAGCATCCCCCTCGGACACCAAAATCCAGATGCTCAATAATATGACATAGTATTTGCATATAACCTACCACATCCATCCCACAATACTTTAAATCATCTCTAGATTACTTATAATACCTAATACTATGTAAATAGTTGTAAACAACATAAGTGCCATGTAACTAGTTGCCTGTTGCAAGGCAAATTCAAGTTTCGCTTTTTGGAAGTTTCTGGACTTTTTTTTTTTTTTTTTTTACTATTTTCTATCCTTGGTTGGTTGAATCTGAGAATTTGAAACCCACACATATGGCAGGCCAACAGTAAACACTATCAGAAAAAGGACAAATTGAAACCAATAACTTAGGATACAAAAAGAACACAGCAACACTCCTGCAACAGTCCTGTCAAAGATTCATAACCTGATTCTAATCATGAAGAAATATCAAACAAGATTCACAATGACAGAGGTGTACAAAACTAGCCTGTAATCTTCAAAAGAGCCAAGGCTGTAAAAGTCAAGGTTAAAATGAAGACTTGTTCCAGTTTGAAGCAGACTAAAGACCCTGATATTAAAGGCAAGGCATGGGGAATTCCCTAGCAGTCCAGTGGTTAGGACCTAGCACATTTTCACTGACGGCGGCCCAAGTTCAATCCCTGATCAGGGAACTAAGATCCCACAAGCCATGTGGCACGGCAAAAAAAATAAAATAGAGGCAAGGCATGATTGTGACTGGACCCTTTTGCTATAAAGAACATTACTGGGATAATAAGTAAACTTGAATGGAATGAAGGTCCAAGGATTAGGTGGTCATAATGTGTCAATGCTACTTCCCTGATTTTAATGATTGTATTGTAGCTACGTAGCAGCATGTCCTTCGAAGGAAATACACACTTAGGTACTCAGAGGTGATGGGGAATCAAGTTATCAACTTACACACAAACCTGAAGAGTCAGGGAGAAAACAATTCTGTGTTCTTTACTTGTAACTTTTCAATACATTTAAGACTCTTTAAAATATTTAAAATTAGAAAGGACATAAAAAGGATGAAGTAAAACTTCAAGACAATTCTTACCTATATGTCTGGATCACTGGAGATCAAAATGATGTCACTGACTTATAACCATTGACTATAATTTGTATTTGTCACTAACAAAGGATTCACCCAATAACCATATTCACTTCACCAATTCTCTTTTGCACTAATCTATTCTTATTGATAGGTTTTAAACTATTTTTCAATTTCTTGACTTAAAGGCATCTCTCAAGGAATTCAGAAATTTTCAGTAACTCTTAAAATTAACTTAGAATATATCTGTGGATTGTTTTCTCCTTTCTGAAAATTTTTTTCCAGTAATACATTTTCCTTGTATGAACTGGTACACTTAGACAAAGGGGTACACAATTCCTATTTAGAAAAGTTTATTGAACATTATTCCTGCATCACACTTATTGAAAGAAAAACTTAATTTTCCCTGATGGTACCTTGTCATTTCACATGATCTATACTCTAAAGATTTTTGTATTAAAAATACAGGTTAAATATGAAATTAGTAAAATGCAGCATATAAAACTTCATGCTGAGCAAAAACAAGTCCAAAAAAAAAGTTACCGTATATCAACAGAATAGTTCCTACAGTATTTAAGATGTTTCCTATGTAACTCATATTTGAATGCAATTTTTAGAACCATATTTAAATATATTTTGCAATTTGTTAACTGCAGACATTCCCATTTTTCTTCCATCACATCATCTGTTCGTTTTATTAAGCTGGCAAATCTGCTCGGATCCACAAAATGCAGCAAGAAGATGGCAGTTATTTCTCAAGATTTGAGAAATCTGGTCCACCTTTACTGTAGTTTCCTGAGATTTCTGCTCCACTGAAGTCAAAACCAGGATTCTGAAAAATATGGAAAAAACAATTATAAAACTTATAAGGAAAAATATAAGTAACCCAAAAGGAAAATGGTAAAAAGATATAAACCAGCAATTGACAAAAAAGGAAATCTAAATGGACAATAAACATGTGAAAAGATATCAAACCTCACTGTAATCACCAAAGTGGAACATAAAACTATGAGGTACTTTCCCAACTTTCATATTTACAAATATTTAGAAGATCAATATGCATATTACAATGTTGACAAGTGTATGGGCAAACATATACTTTACCATCAGTGTATCAACAGATTTCTAATAACTAGCATTTTTTGAGAGCTTATTACATGCCAGGCAGGGTTCTAAGAGCTATATATATTTTAAAATACTCAGTCCTCACGACAATCTCATGGAGTAAGTACTACCTCAGCCTTCAGTATTTTTAGAGGCATTTCATTTATTCAACAAACATCTATTGATTTCCTACTGTTCAGAAGACACCATGAGAGGCATATGGAATTTAAGAATGAACAAAATAGACAAAGATCCATGTTCTGGTGGAGATTACATTCTAACAGGAGGAGACAAATAATAAACCCTAAATTACCTAGAGCAGGGGTCAGCAAGCTTTTCTGTAAAGAGCCAGGTAGTAGATACTTTAGGCTTTGAAGGTCATATAGTCTCTGTCATAACTACTTAATTCTGCTGTGGCTATATGAAAGACAATACACAAACAAATAAGCATAGCTGTGTTCCAGTAAAACTTTGCTTCAAAAACAGGCAGTGGGCTGGATTTGACCAGTGACCATAGTCTGCCAACCCCATGATCTAGTGTGTTAAAAGTTTGTAAGTGCTATAGTATAGGATAAAAAAAGAAAGAAGAAAAGTAGGGCAAGTAAGGAAAATGAGGAGATTAGAGTATTTAAATAGAATGATCAAGTATGCTTCATTGAGAAATGACTTGAAAACAGTAAAGAAATTAGCTAAGCTTTGGGAGAAGACCATTGCAGTCAAAAGGCCAGGCATGTTTAATGAACAGCAAAAAGGCCAGTATGGCTAGAGCAGAATGAATGAGGGGGGCAGTAGTAGGAGAGGAAGTCAGAGACACCATGGAGGACCAGACCAATTAGGGCCTTATAAAAGACTTTGTCTTCTACTTGAGTGAAAGAGTTCTGAGAAGTCATATAATCTGACATGCATTTTAAAAGGACTGCTCTAACTGCTATTTTCAGAAGACGGTAGCTTGGCAAGGGTAGAGGTAAAGAGAACAATTAAAAGGTCAGGCAAGACGTTAGAGGTGGTCCAGGTGAGAGTGGTAGTAGACTTGGTGGTCAAATCCTGAATATATCTAGAAGGCCATGCCAGTAAGGTTTCCTGACAATTGGAGAGGGTGTGAGAGAGAGAGGAATGGAGGATGATTCCCCAGATTTTTTTGATCTGAACCAGTTTCCATCACGTGAGATGAGAAGGCCATAGGTAGGACAAATGCGGGAGGGATATTAGGGAGTTCACATTGGACATGTTGAGTTTGACATGTCTATTAGACAGAAAAGTGAAGATGTTAAATAGGCAGCTGGATATGCAAGTCCAACATTCAGGAGAAAAGTCCAGGCCAGAGACATACGTTTGGGAAACACTATCATATAGATGAAATTATCCATCAAAACTTTAACAGTGGTTTGATCCAGTAATAATTCTCCCATATATCTATCTTAAAGGAAAATTTGAATATTTTCAGAGATGAAAGTACAAACTGTTTGAAATAGACACAAACAGAGAAATCTAAATCTCATCAAAGAGGGAACAGCTAAATAATAACGATACACTCAAACTAGGGAACACTCTAAAGCAGTTAAAAGTAATGAATTTTATCTGTATGTATTAGTAGGGAAAGAGACTGAAGACTTTTGTTTTTTGGCTGCACTGGGTCTTAGTTGCAGCACTGGCATCTTTGTTGCGGCATGTTTAGTTGCAGCATGCAGGCTCTTAGTTGTGGCATGAGGACTTCTTAGTTGAGGCATGCAAATCCATATATAGAAAGGCCAGTCATTTTTCTAACCATTTAACTTAAAAAATTTCTTTGAAGAATTTTAGTAATTTTTTAAAACCACATTTGAGTTTTAATTTCAAATAATAATTATTCTATGAGTTTAAGATGTTTAACTACACATATTCATACATTCATCTGACTTACTTCTTTCTGGAATCTCTCTAATGTAAGTTTTCTTTGCATTTGGTCTTGCACCCAAGGATCAGCTGCATATCCAGATTCTAGAAGAGAAGTCCAACAATTTGCCGCATCTCTCTTTGTCTTTGTAAGAACAATACGGACCATTTTTCGATCCTCTAAACAAACAAACAAAAATCACAAAGAAATCAGAGTTAATCATTAATTTGTATTTTCAAAAATCATTAGGGAATCTTGACATACAATTGTTTTCAATACATTTCTTTTACTATATCTTCCAAAGCTGCAAATCTACAGCAGGGATAAACATACTAATTTCCAAGACAAAATTAATTTTTAAAAAGATTCTAAGAAATATAATAGATTACCCTTACCCAGAGTCCATGTTCCCTCATCAGCTATTGTAGAATCAAAGAGTTTGCCCTGAAAAATAAACATATGAGTACTAAAAATAAAGAAATTCCATTCATTTTCATAAAGTTTTCATGATTTAAGACTTACCTTACTTCCCATCTAATCCACATATAATTACTTAAATTGTTTAGAGTAGGGAGATCAAATTTTATACCATTTCAACACACTGATAGGTGCTCAACCCTAAGTTCCCTCCTAGCGAGTGAAGAACCTAATTTACGCTACGGAATATATACTACGACAAAGAACACAGGGCTCTCTACAGAAAGATCAGGGCTCCTTAATTTTTAGAGGATGAAGAAATACTACTGATCACTGATTGGCCAAATGTGAAGTTAATATGTGAAATGCTTTAACTTTAGCAACTATAATAAACTACAAGAAGAGCTCTCCTGTGGATATTAAGAAGAAATGATGTCTTTTAAAACAAACTTTTAAAAAACTAAAAACAGAACTACCATACAACCCAGCAGTCCCACTACTGGGCATATACCCTGAGAAAACTGTAATTCAAAAAGAGTCATGTACCACAGTGTTCACTGCAGCTCTATATACAATAGCCAGGATATGGAAGCAACCTAAGTGTCCATTGACGAATGGATAAAGAAGATGTGGCACATATATACAATGGAATATTACTCAGCCATAAAAAGAAACAAAATTGAGTTACTTGTAGTGAAGTGGACGGACCTAGAGTCTGTCATACAGAGTGAAGTAAGGCAGAAAAAGAAAAACAAATACCGTATGCTAACACATATATATGGAATCTTAAAAAAAAAAAAAAAGGTTCCGAGGAACCTAGGGGCAGGACAGGAATAAAGGTACAGACGTAGAGAATGGACCTGAGGACACGGGGAGGGGGAAGGGTAAGCTGGGACGAAGTGAGAGAGTGGCATGGACATATATACACTACCAAATGTAAAATAGATAGCTAGTGGGAAGCAGCCGCATAGCACAGGGAGATCAGCTCAGTGCTTTGTGACCACCTAGAGGGGTGGGATAAGGAGGGTGGGACGGGGCCGCAAGAGGGAGGAGATATGGGGATATATGTATATGTGTAGCTGATTCACTTTGTTATAAAGCAGAAACTAACACACCATTGTAAAGCAATTATACTGGAATAAAGATGTTAAGAAAAATAAAATAAATAAAAAAATAAAAGTGGTTCAATCTCTTTGTAGGGCAATGTAGCATTAAAAAAAATTTAAAGCACATACTGTACATCTGAGGTCAGATGAGTTGTCACTGACTTTTCAGAAACTCGTTTTAAGAAAGAACTAACCAAAATATAAGTTTAAAAGAGAATGCATCTGCTAAAATCCATTTTGATTTGTTGTAGGAAATGAAATTAAAATGTCACATTAAAAAAAGAAAACACATTCTTTTCATGTCAATACCAGTGGAAAAAAATCCTACTTGTCTAAAATCCTAGAGTTAAGAGTTATTGCTAAATTCCCTAAGCTACTGCAAATTAACTAAATTTACTAAAGTAAATTTGAAGTGTAATATTAAATCACCGTTCAGTAAACCCCACAAAATTGCACAATTATTCAGAAAGGTCATCAAGATCCAAGCTGACATAAATCAATGTCTTTCACATGAATCTTCCTTTTCTCTGAGGCACTCAAAACACTTTCCTATAAAATAATAATAACTAACACGTAGTGTGAGCTTATTACATACCAGTCACTACTTACTCCAAGCTCTTCACTCACCATGCTATGCTGAAAACAATCCTGAGAAAGGTACTATAATTACTCCACTTTGTGGATGAAGGCTTAAACAATGAATAATCTCTTGCCCAAGGTTACACAACTGGAAAAATGACAAAGCCAGGCATCTTACCAAGTAGTATCCCTTGACCATTACACAACACTGCCATCAAATATCTTGGGCATCTAACCTGAGAAAGAAATCTAACTTCAACTTAACTGAATTTAACTATAAATTTTAACAAGGAAATAATCGGTACCAGATCCAAAGGGTACTGATGAGAATAAAAGGGATATTATTTTCTTCACAACCTCTTGACACTGCTTAACCACTCCACAAATGAGAATTTTTCTAATTTCAGATGAGAAAATAAATCACCTGACATCACCTTCGAATCCTCGTCCTGACATCTTTATCCTTTATTTTCATCTTTATTTTCCTATAACTGCCTAAATATTTATTAGTTTAATTATGACTCCCTACAAGAGCATAACCTCTCTTGAGTGCGGGAACATTACCTGGCTCGTTCACCGCTGTCCTACTAGCACCGAGATCAGTACCTAGAGGAAAGTATAGGTACCATAAGTATTTGTTCCTTCAACGATCTAGTTAAGCAGTTCTCAGCTGAAGACCCGCAGAGGAACAAAAGAAACAGCTTCATTTGGCTTAGAAACAAAGCCCGGAAAAGTGGCGTACTCAAATTCCCACCTCAACTCAGGACTGGCCCTGAGGGTGGGGTCTCCGCAGACCAGTCTTTCCAAGGAAACTATGAACTCTAGCACTCAGAGATTTGAGGGGGCCGGGAAGAAACTGAGCACAAGCCCCAACCTGCCGCTACCTTGAGTATCTCGCGGCCCCCCACGGCCAGCGCCACATGCCGGCTCTGCAGGCCGCACTGAATATCCTGGGCGCGAGTGCCTGGCGGCACCTGAACTTCAATGAACACCTCCTCCAAGGTCTGGTACCACTGGCCCCACGGTGTTGCGCACGGAACCACCCCACTGCGCTCCTCAAACGGGGCTGACATACTCCAGTCGCCTCTCGGCCGCGGTGGCACCGAGCGATCTGAGCGCACGCACGGAATATCCGCGTTCGAGCCACGCCCCGGCTTCTCCGCTCGGGTCACTGCACACGCGCAGGAATGTAACCTGAAGTCTCCGCTCGTGTTCGTTTTTCCCTTTCAGAGGCCATTTAGGACGCTGGCAGAACCCAGGTTTAACGAACTGAAATCCGGAAAAGTTTACCTCCAAGGAACGACGGGAGACAGCTGGAACCAGTAAAATCAGAATTCATTACACTGCCGCCAACATGACGTCAAAAGCGACTGAAAATTCTTTGATGTGAAGTGCGCTTGCGCAAATGCTGCTGGTGCTTAGTTAAAATTGAGTAACGCCAGCAGGGGTTGGGCCCGTGGGGAGGGCGCGGGGCGAGAGGAGACAGTAATAGTCTCCTATTGGATGGTAGCCTAAACAGATCACCTAATTGGACGCTGCTAGAACCGAGTACGCATGCTCTATGGATGTTCCCGTCCTGGATTGGTGTGTCCAAGGCTTTGGCTTTCCGATTGGTTAAAGTTGGGTGGGAGGGGAATAAGCGGGGAGATTTGAATTTGAAGCGAATAGGGCCTAACAAGCCGCAGGAAGTTGCCGAGGAGCACCCTAGAAACCTTCGGTTTTGTGCGGCGGGTCGTCAGCATGTCCTTTTCTAAGGCGCCCCTGAAACGATTCAATGACCCTTCTGGTGCGTACGGGGAAAGGATCTGGGGGACAGAAGATGCTCTCACGCCCCTTGCCCCTCTTGATTCCCTTCATCAGAGGCAAATAGAAGGCGATTTTTAGGGCTGGGATGGGGCTCACTTAATTGATTCATTTTCCTGAAACACATGCTAAGGTTTTACTACATGCCAAGCACTATTCAGAATGATAAGGTTACAACAGCGAGCGAAGCAAAATCCCTGCTCCATGAAGCTTACATTCAATTGGAGAATGCAGCCAATAAACAGTGCTGTGGAGAAACTAAAGCAGAGGGAAGGGAATAGGAATTAGGAAGCATTGATAGCTATTTGTTGGTCAAGTCCGAAGGCCTCACTGTTAAAAAAAATATATATATATATATATATATATTTATTTATTTACTATTGCTTTTGGTTTGAACTTGTGGATTTCTTTTGGATATCCCATTTAGGCGTAAAAGAAGGAAGATTGGTAAAGGCAGTTTATGGGTGTAAAATTATGGCAGTAGCACTTAGTGAAAACACTATAGATGAAGTAATGGGAGCTAATTTTGACAGTACCCCAGGCACCACACTAAGTCTTTACATAGATTATTCTATTTTAATTCCCCCAAATCCCTATTGTTCATTATTTTATTGATAAAGAGATGGAGACTATTTGCTAAATGTTACACAATCCAAACTGTCAGAACTGGGGCTTCAAACCAGGCCTCCACGAACTCATCCTGTGCTCCTAACCACTGCGGTGCAAAAGCACAATAACCATGAAGCCTTCCGTGTGGTTGGTAAGGCATTCATCATTTAGTGGCTACTAACTGGATGCAGGGACTATGCTAAGGTCTTCCCTACTAGATCTGGTTTATTCTTGCCAACAGCCAGGTGAGGCAGGTACTGATATTGTCCTCATTTTACAGCTAAGGACACTAAGGGGTTTTGTAACTGTACTGAGCAGCCTGTAAGTGACAGCTTAATATCAAAGCTCATGATTTATCCTTTATAATGTACACTTTTAACAGTCACTCATTACACCTTAATTTCTATTAGCTAAAATGCAAATGGAAAAGACCTCTGCTCACAAAGGAAGGCCAAGGGGGCAAATGGATCAGCACAAGCATATTTTTTAATTAGAAGACTCAAGAACCATATAATTTTCCAGACATTCAAAGAACCTACTCTAAGTTCTGTCAGCAGTGTGTCTTTTAAGGAGATTTGTTTGTTTGCTTGCTTTATAATAGATTAAACTGCTTTTGCCAATTACACAAAATTTCAGGCTCACAGTTTCAAGAGTAATAAGTTACCATCTATTTGATGCTGTGTGTGTGTGTGTGTGTGTGACTGTAGTGATTTCTCGTATTACTCCAGAAATCCTAACAACCAAAGTATAAGGTAGCTACTGTTTTGTGAATGAAGAATCAGTCTCAAATAGAAATAACTTTCCAGGGGTCTTAAAGCTAGACTGGAAAAGGAGAGAGTATAATGTTCTTATTTATCATCTTCTCCCTATGACTGCAAAGTACCTGGCATATGGTATTATCTATTGATTGGCAGGCAAAGCTGGATTTGAACATCGATCTAGCTGATTACTATACAAAACTCTATTCCCAATCCCACATCCCAAGTAACTTTCTGTTTTCTTTGCCACACTGCCAAACTCAACCCTGAGCTAAATACTGAGGAAAGGGACGTGATTGAGACTGTCCCTAACTTCAAGCAGTTTTGTCTAAGGTGGGAGATGGATAAGTACATTATTATAACCCATTACAAAACTGCAAGAAGTTCTATGATAGTAACAATATGCGTAGGCTGCTGTGGAATGGAGGTTTCTAGCTTGATTTGAGGATTTGGAGAAAACTGGAAGAGGCGACCTCCAGGCTGAGATCTAAAGTAAGCAAGAGCCGGATCTCAAGTCAGCTTTGCATAAGCCCTCTGAAATGCCTTCGATTTGGGACTCCAGTTACATGAGGTTATACAGTATAAATTGCTGAAACATAGAAATATAGTCTAGCATAGTAGTTTGTACTTTGCATAACATGGCTTTATAAATTTTCTGGTGTATTGATACTAGACAGAGATAGATCGTCACTAAATTTTTATTCCAAGCTAAATCTTGAGGGCTAGACATTTTTAGTAGCTTCATTTCTAAAATCTGCTGATGGTTTCCTCAGTGAATCTCTCTGAGTAGAGTTGATTCCAAATATTTTATTTCTTATATTCAGTCCTTAATAACAAAGCTGTATTGCTTGTTCTGACACAATTTTCATCCCAAAACTGTCTGTTGTTTTGCTCGGTTGTCTGTGTTCCTTTGACCCAATTGAAGTAAAGGTCATTTGGGAAGATAATGATATTTATTATTCTTCACAGAGAAGCCTAATATCAAATGGGTGCTATTTTTACATTTGAAAATAAAGGAAACTTTTAAAAAAAATTTTATTGGAGTATAGTTGATTTACAGTGTTGTGTTAGTTTCAGGTGTACAGCATAGTGATTCAGTTATACATACACATATATTCATTCTTTTTTAGATTCTTTTCCCATATAGGTTATTACAGAATATTGAGCACAGTTCCATGTGCTATACAGTAGGTCTTGTTGGTTATCTATTTTATATAGATATGTATGTGTGTATATGTTAATCCCAAGCTCCTAATTTATCCCTCCTCCCCATATTTCCCTTTTGGTAACCATAACTTTGTTTTCGAAATCTGTGAGTCTGTTTCTGTTTTGTAAATAAGTTCATTTATATCATTTTTTTTAATTAGAAAAAGAAGCAATTTATTAATAGTATTTTTACATTTATATTACTTTACTATGACTTTTTTTTAACTGAAGTATAATTGATTTAAAATATTGTGTTAGTTTCAGGTGTACAGCAAAGTGATTCAATTATATTTTTTTCAGATTATTTTCTATTATAGGTTATTATAAGACATTGAATATAATTCCCTGTGCTACACAGGAGATCCTTGTTGCTTATCTGTTTTATGTGTAGTAGTTTGTATGTGTTAATCCCATACACTTAATTTGTCCCTCCCCCCTTGCTCCCCTTTGGTATCCATAAGTTTGTTTCCCATGTCTGTGAGTCTGTGTCTGCTTTGCATATAGATTCATTTGTATTAATTTTTAGATTCCACATATAAATATCATATAATATTTGTAAGACATGTTTTTAACTTAAGATCATAAGTCACATTAGATGAGATTTTAATATTTTATGTTTCCTCTAGGATGTGCACCATCTCCAGGTGCTTATGATGTTAAAACTTCAGAAGTATTAAAAGGACCAGTATCCTTTCGGAAGTCACAAAGGTTTAAAGAACAAAAAGGTAATTGATCCCAAAATAAAATAATGATTATATGATCTTGTAAATTTTGAAGTTAAGAAAACAGTATTTAAATTTAAAGATGCTGTAGTATTTCTAAAAATGTGAAGCTACACCTATATTTAATTTTTCTTAATTGATAGATTTACAAAAGGGTCAACTTCAGAATAACACTTTCATCATTACACTGTTGTATAACCAGGAAAATTAAGCAAGATGCCATAGATATGTAGTTTTCCTTTTCGGTTACTTTAACTCTCTGTTGGAGAATATTAGAAAGAATATTAGGAAAATTAGGAAAGAGATGTGTAAAAAATATTGTGCAACTAATTATTTGAAAATGTACAATCAAGAAAAGAATAACTTTATATTGCTATAAGAAATTTGGGAATTGTGTTTTGTCTGTGGTTCAAATACGTAAGCACAAACCATGATCTGTACAATTTGTTTTATAGCAGAATCTCAACAAAATCTTAATGTTGACAAAGATACTACCTTGCCTGCTTCAGCAAGAAAAGTTAAGACTTCGGGATTAAAGGTAAGGAGCTCTTATATTCTAGCTGGTTTATAAACTGTAATATGAAAATATTTCTGAAAGGTACTGTATTTGACTAGAATGGGTTAAGTGTATAAATTAAGGTTATTGGTAAATCTGTAAATTAGTAAAACATTATCATTGGAACTCCAGCAAGCTTTACATACCTGCCTGTGTCATTACTAAATATATTGTGTTTAAATGTGCCCTTAGTTCAAAGTTACAAAATGGTCTCCACTTCTCAGTCATTTCTATAGCTGGGCAAATTTTATAATACTTAGTAAGCCTTTAAAAATTATGCAATGCTTTGATTTGTTAGTTACCATAATTTGAGTTGTTCTGGTTTTGTTTGTTTATTTGTTTTGGCGGAAGAGTAAATATTGGCAAACAAAAAGAAAAAACATTCTAATGCCTAAAAGAGGTCTAGTACTCAGAAACTGCCAAGGAGTGGTAGGAGATTAAATTCTTAATAACTTCATGTTATAGCTTGTGCGATAGCCTACTATTACGGTTTCCATTAGTTCATAAAGCAAGTTGTTTTTCCTTAAGGAGTTGCACAACTTGGTATTTTAATGTGAAAAGATTCAGAGTTGGGAAATCAAAGCTATAAGTTAAGCTTATTCTTGTTCATTAATTTGGCGATTACCTAAGTCTCTAGTTCTATAAAAAAAGAGCTGTTGTCCAATATGGAAGTGATCAGCCACGTGTGGCTACTGAGCACTTAAAAGTGAAGAATTGAATTTTTAGTATTATTTAATTTTAATTAATGGGTAGTTAAAAACTGATACTCGATTCTGTTGTTATAAAACTTAAATGTTTTTGGAATAACTTGGGTATGTGAATCTACCTTTTCATCTGTATATTTTGTGAAATCTAAATATAGATAGCTATTTCTAATGAAAATTTAGCATCTGAGTTGAGACGTGCTGTAAGTGTAAAATATACAGCAAATTTTGAAGACCTAGTACCAAAAATATAAAATATCTTGTTAATAATTTTATACTAATGACATGTTGAAATAATATTTTTGATATCTTGGTTAAAGTAAAATGTATTATTAAATATTTTACCTTTTAAATATGGCTACTAGAAAATTTGAAAATATGTACATAGCTTGCATTATATTTTTATGGGCAGCACTGATACAGATACCCTTTTCTTGGAAATTGATGTAAATTTCTTGACTTGAATTTCTTGGAGAAACAGTTCTGAAATTTAAAACTAAATTACAAACAAGTTTGTGTAAAACTCCTACATAATAGACCTTCCTTGATAGAAAATGCTGTCAGGTGTGAAATTAATAAACATGAGACTGGTGGCCCTTCCCCAACTTAGAAATATATGAAACACATTTTGTTCAAGGTGTTTATGACTTTCCTTCCATCTTTAGATGGAAAAGATAGATATTCTGTTTTGGGCCGTTATCTCAGAAAGGCTATTGGATATAAAAAGATACGTAAAAATACATCTTATTGAGAATAAAGGCAATGAGTAGATTAGAATCAGTTTGTATTATTTCAGTTTTTCTTTATGGTTTTGCAGTTGTAGTTTTTTTTCATATTTGGGATCTAAGTTTAAGTTGATTTCTTTCTTTTTTTTTTTTTTTTTT